CAGCCCGGCGGGTCCCCAGGGGATGCGAGGCGCTCGCCTCGCGCTAGAGGGCGAGAGAGGCTGGGGACCCCGTGGAGTCGGGTATCTCAGGTCCCCTTGGCCCACGGGGAGGGGCGCTCCCGGGATGAAGCTAGAGTAAATACAGGACATCAGGACATTGTTTTCTGGCGGCGGGTCTTTAAAAAGCTTCCTACTTTCCTCATTGCACACAAACACGCAGATGCGCCCTGGGAACGTCCCTTGTAAGGATCTGTGCTGGCTAGCGTCAGATCGGATTTCTAGGTGATTAGGGTGTGCATGAAATGGCGGGGAAGAAAGAGGACTGAGGTGTAGACGTGGTGTGTGACTCAGTTTTCTCACCTATTTAATGAAAATAATACCCACCACGTAGGATTATTATGAGGATTAAGTAAGTTGAAGTACATAAAGCACTTGGAAGTGTGCCTGGCACACAGTAGGTGACATGTGTTGGTAGTAGTAGTAGCTGTAGTTATTGCTGCTATTGGTGTTATTTCGTGGAGATGTGTAACATTGGGCATTAAGCCCTGTGTTTTCTGGAGGAAACAGTTTCTCCATCTGTACAATGATTGGGGTGCTCTTTTCTTCTTTCATTCAAAAACATACTGAACTAGGTGATGGGCACCAACTGGTGAACAAGATGGACACAAGGCCTTCCTCAGTGGCAGGGATCTCAAGATCCCTTCTTGATCTAAGATTCTGTAAATGGGTGAGTTATCGTGTTTTTCAAAAGAAGCATCCAAATTTCTGATTATTGAATACCTGGACAAATCCACCTGGCCCACTCATTGTAAGTTGGCCTGTGGCACATTTGTTTGTGGCACTATCTCTAATGTCCTTTTAACGAAATTTTCACATGACAGTCTCTGTATATGTGTTTGTGTGTATGTATACACACATAGATTTGTGTATCACACCTATATTCTGATTATAACGATATATGTTCTTTGTAAACATTTTGGAAAATATTGAAAAGTATCAGGAAGAATATAAAAATAACTAGAGATCCTACCACCCAGAGAGCATTGTTAATGGTATTAACATGTTGAGGAATTTCCTTGCTTTTTTTTTTTTTTAACTCTGTGTGTACTGCAAAACTGGACTAATAATTTGTAACCTGCTTTTTTTTTCTTAACAACATAAATATTTTCTCAAATCATTAAAGTCTCCAACAACACAACTTTAATAATTGTATAATATTTTCTACTCTTTAGATATATGTAATTTACTATTAGATATTAGACATTGAGGATTCAGTGTTATTAATAATTCTGGAAAGAATGCCCTTGGAACATAATCTGTGTGCATATCTTTAAATAATTTGTTATGCCTTTCTAGAAGGGAAAACATTGAGTCACATGGTATGTGCATTTTTAAAGTTTTTGATGAATAATATACAAATTCCTTCCAAAAAATTTGTAGCAGTTGTTACCAGCAGTTCATGAGTATTTATTTCACATCACCCTAGATTATAATACTTCTGATATTTACTATTTTGGTAGAAGAGAAAAATGCTATTATTTTTTAAAATGTATTTCTATTATTAGTGACATTGAGTTATTTTTCATATATATCTACTAGCTATTTGCATTTTTCTTTCTCATGTCAGGGTGTGAGAATTTTTCACTGGCACACTTTAGCCATTTTATTGAAGTTCCATTTTTTATCGATTTGTTAGCAATCTTCATAAACTTTGTGTATGTTTATCATATATCTTACAAATACATTTTTGTAGTCTTTTAAATTTATTTCTGGTAGCCTTTCTGGCAGAAGATTGTCATCTTTAGGTATTCAAATGTAGCATCATTTTATTTTGTGATTTCTTCCTTTTTTATATCTAGAAGTACATGTATCTCCGCAAAATCATACAGATGCCTATGTTTTCTTATTTTGTTATATTTTGTTATTATTTCTTTTTTATATGCTTTATTATTTAATTCATGTGGAATTTTTAGGAGTCAAATTATGTTATTATTTTTGTCATCTGAGAAAGAACTAACAACATGACTATTAAATTGAAAACAGCTTCTTTCCTTATAAAAATAAAAGTCGTCCAGTCAATGCACTTGGATCAAATGACAATTGTAGATTTTCCAGAGTGGGACAATTTGCCACTTTCAATAAATAATTTTCTCATAGTTGTCCCATCCATAAAAAAGATCTGTGATTATCTGATCAATAAATTTACTCTTAAAATTAGTTTTATAAAAAAATATACTTTAATAGAAAATTCCTAATGAAATTTTTGCAAGAATGGGTTTAAATAGCTTACAATCACTATGCAGTGTTTACCTGAAAATTGAACTGAATTTGGTTAAAAAGTCAACAAAAGCCTTAGCTGTATCAACAAAAGCCATAGCCAAAATGATGCTATATACATAGATTTATTTTCTTTTTTAACTTAAATCAGATTGTGGTATAAATAACCCCAATTTTTAAAAGACTGTCTAAGCACAAACAAAATTAGAAAAAAAATCTGAATGAATTCAAGTAGCAAATTTTTAAAATTAATTTTAAACCATCAATGAAACCATCAATGTAACATATTTTCTGTATCAAATTATCAAAGAGATAATAATTCTGGCAAATGTATGCTGTGGATTATACACTCAGGAGAACATGTATTTCTGGAGGATAATTTGGCAATATGTATTAACTGCCTTTAATATGTTTATTCCTTAACCCAGTAATTTTTCCTTCTAGGACTCTAAGGAACTGATAGGTAAGGAGCACAAAGTTTCTGTACAAGAATATTCACTATCCTTTAATATGACTAAAAATGAAGTAACCTAAGTGCCCCAAAATAGAGGAATGGTTAAATAAATTGTATTGCTTCATGTGGTAGGATTATGTACGTATTAAAAGTTACATTTACTAGAGAATACTAAATGAATTGAGGAAATGTGATGATATAATGTTAATGGAAAAAGCTGGAAACAAATCCAATGAACACATATCCTCCACAAAGGCATAAGAGTGATATAATGGACTTTGGAGACTGAAGGGAAAAGGTTGGTAAGAGGGTTACGGATAAAAGACTATATATATGGGGTATAATATACACTGCTCAGGTGACAGGTGCATTAAAATTTCAGATATCACCACTAAAAAACTTATCCATGTAATCAAAAACCACTTGTACCCCCAAAGCTATTGAAATAAAAAAGTAAAATAACAGTGTATCCTCAAGTATGATGTGCAGGGGATTGGGGAAGAGTTTAAGTGCGCTTTATGGAGGGAGTATCACTAGAAGAAAATAAATCAAAGTGTTGGCAGTAATTGTCTTCTAATACCAGCATAACAGATATTTTTCCTTTCATTTTTACAGACTCTGTGTTTTCAATTTTTCCATAATTACATATTATTTTTATAATCACTACAAATTACTAAAAATGTTTGTATTCTTTGATGCCAATCAATTCTACCTAAAGAAATCATCAAAGATGTATACAAATATGTAAGAACAATATTCAAGGACAAAATATTCACCCACGTTTTTTGTAAAAGAAAATGAATGAAACCTAAATATTTAATACTAGGGAAAGTAAATAATGTATATTATCCTGACACAAAGAATTATTTTATGAAAGGGTCTGACGGGGAAATGCTTACAAAAATGCTTTCACTTAAGTGAGGGAAAATCATGATATAAAATTCATACACAATTGATACATCCAATGTAGTAAAATTATAAAAACGTGGACAGCAGGTACAAACCAATTTCAGAATAGTGATTGCCTCAAGGAGAAGAAAGGAGAATAATATTAAGAAGGAATATAAAAGGGGTTTCACCAGCATCAATAATACTTTATTTCCAAAAGGAAAAAAGGATGAAGGAGATGGAGAAAAGAAGAAAAAAGAAGAAAGGAATATCTGAAGCAAATATGAACACTGTGTCATTGTTTTGTTCTGAGTGTTGAATGGCAGTTATAATAGCTAACATTTGTTGAGCACTTAATATATGCCATTGCTGTTCTAAAATATTTACAAGTTCTACTTCATTTAACCCTCAAAAACAACCCTATGAGATAGGTACTCTTATCTCCATTTTATAGATGAGCAAATAAAGGCACAAGTTTCTCAGAAAAGACAGTGTTGGGTTTCAAACACAGGCAGTCAGATTGTAGGGCTCCACCCCTTAGGGAGTTTTATTACCCTCTTCTATTTTCTTGAAATATCATTTAAATTATTAAATAGAATATAGTCTTAACTAGGTTTTAAAAATCATATTTGAAAAACTGAGGCTAGGCCAGATGACTAGCAAAGGTGGTGTTTTCTGGACAAAATGTATGGATAGTTTTTTTCTATTACACTTTTCCATACTTCCAAATTTTTTATAGAAAATATATATTAATTCAATTTTTAAAACAAGAAAGGTGGGCTATATTAAAAAGAAGTATGATACTTAAGCTATTATATTCTACCTTTTGTACCTCCATTTGGTCACCATATTTTA